GACCTAATCAGATTGTTGTTGTGACTTTTACGAAAAAATGGCTCGGGGTGCTTATTCAAACATGAGACCTACATGTGAAACTGCCACCACATGTAGGTAATGAACACAATAGTCACCCACCGAGTTCATGGCTCTAGACTCTCCAGGTCCACTGATGACGGCAGCAGAGCTTGGCCCTTTCAGTACTATATACGGTGACATAAAGGGAGGGGAGTGGGGCTATAATCCCTGGAGAGAGGGGAAGGAAAGGGGAACAAGGGAGAAGAGACGAAGGAAGAGAGGTTGTCTCAGCGGAACAACGTATGCCATCTGGGCCCAAGGTAATGTATGACTTCTTGTGGTAATCTCTATAATGAAGCAGGGAGCTGGTTGGGAGCGAAGCGTACGCTTTCGCTGCTACAGTACAGTGTGGCCCCGAGAGCCTCAGCAAATGAGCCCAGAGATCCAGGAGATAGAGTGGATAGTGTGCGATTCCGAAGGAGGGGAAGGGGGGGGGGTTGGATCAAGCTAGATGAGGGATATTTTGGGTAGAGGAGCAGAGAGCGAGAGAGGGATAGGGGAAGGAAGCTTAGCAGGAGCTGTGTGTGTGTGTGTGTGTGTGTGTGTGTGTGTGTGTGTGTGTGTGTGTGTGTGTGTGATAAATACCTCATTTCTGTGCTGCCTATGAGAGGAGCACACACAAAATGGATGTTGCTGTGCCCCTGTCCTTTATTTAATCCAGTCTGAGGCCACATTTCGCCATCTATCAGTGGCCGCTGCACCATCTTTCCTGGAGCTGGTCGATAGTGGAGATGTAGATATTTTCTATGGAAATTAGTCTGGATATATATTGCCAGTGTTATCTTGCACTGTGTAGTGATATAGCCTGTGAATAGGTACTCCATACACTATTGAATAATAATACCCACTTGGCAATTTTATCTGATTTTTGGTCTATGGATAATTATGTTCTCGAGCCTGAATGTAGGCGGATGCTGTATGCAGTTTGAAGAGGATTTTTATGGAAATGTGGTCACTACATACAACAAGGTGAAAGCTTAGTCCTGACTAATATAATATACTAATAATCATTTGCTTATATAATTTGCATCCAAACCCGCTGTGGCAATTGTATCAGCTCTTTCTTCTCATGTTGAGCATTTTTCTTTTGTTTCTTGGAGGTAATTTTAAAACTAAATGTGAAAACAGAACGCAGTTAACTGAGCTGTGCTAATGAAGCCTTTGGTAGTCACATAAAATAACTTTTTACGTCAGCATGCCGCCTGAGTGCCTTGAACCTCATCCAAGTAGTCCTCATATCTAAATGAGAAAATAGGTTGTTTTCCAAAGTGACCCTGACAGTTCTAAAATGGGAGAAATCATGGACATGGTTTAAGCTGGATCAACTGATTATTTTACCACTTTGGGGGCGGTGGAACAAGCTGTAAATACTCCCATATTATTAGCTTATTATGACGCTAAATGCTCCACAATCTTCATTAGCTTGTCTCTGACTTTGTCTGTCTGCTATCAGGTAACATACAATGGGTTTTTAGCTCAATACTGGATTGAGGATATGATATTTTGATATGATTTTGTTAGTTTTACTTGTTTTACTGTTTATCATTGTTGTATCCGTAGAGTCACTGTTGTTGTAGCTTTGGTTATTGCACAATAATAATAACAATATGAAGTTTGTTTGTTTTTTAACAAAAATTAGACAAAATATGACCGAAAGGATTCTTTTATTTCTTAGACAAAAATGAGCAAACATTTTTCTCTTGTATTTCTATATGAAATTATTGAAAATGAATCAATTTGAGGTAGGATATAAATTGTGCAAAACAATACATATTCCCTTTTTTTTATAAAAATGAAACTGATCTTTGTGCCTTGATACAGCTACGGACATGAGTGATGTAGGATGTAAGTCAAAAGATAGTGCTCTCTGTGGTTTAAAAAGACAATCACGATCTTCACATATTTGTATTGTGATTTAACTGTCTCGCAATATATTTTTACGTTTGTAGTTTTCAGAGCTTTTTCTTGTTATAAACAGACCTTTTGAGAGAGGTGAGAGTGAACCAAAACAGTACAATATTGGGCTAAACAATGAGCTGAAGCTCGATATAAAGCATCATAAATCTAAGGAGATCTGCAGATTTCCAGATTTTCTATTGTCTTTTCATGCACTGGGATATAAACTATATCAATTATAGCCACTTTGCCACCGTTGCAGGATAGTCATATATATATCATATATTTCCATACTTTCATCTCTTTTGCTCATATATGACACACAGTGAGTACAGATATGATATTGGCCTGACAGCCTGTTTGCCAGAGAAAACTGCACGAGAATCGACTGCATTATGTCGGCACAGTACACATCACAGGACCTTAATATCTTCCCAGTGTAAACACCAGTGTTCAGGCAGCTGGCAGGTGATCGGCACAGTCCGTCTGTGCATGTGTGGACTGATCAAACGGGCGCTTTTGTCCACACGTGCGATTTCTCTCTGTTCCTCTGTGTATTTTTTTTTGTTTTTGGCAGCATGTGCACAGACGTGTTGTGTGCGTGCCTGTGCATGTGGGAGTGCTTTTGGATCATCCTGTTAGACCAGCTAGGAAAAAGAGCCGTAGATTGGCTGAGGCTCTATCCCCCTCTTTCTTAAAACACAAGGAAAATAGCAGCGTGGAGGAAGGGAGCAGATGAAAATAGCTCAGTAGGCAATCGCTGACTCACAAGGCAATGCTGGGTGTCAGGAAGGCATCCATTCCAGTATGCATCAAATCAACTAGCTGTTGTGTAACTCCCTCAGTGCCCGTAAATCAAACTGTTCTCGGTGCGCCTAGCTAGTATGACTTTTGTGCACATGTCCCCTCTTTGGCTGCACAGAAAAAAGGGAGGTGACATCACAGGTGCCATTTATCACTTTTGACAGCATTGCCCAGAGTCTTTTGGGCAGGGGAGGCAGGCCAAGGCCAGTTGGCTGTGATGTAGCATGGTCAGCTAACTACCCAGCTCATTCATCATGCCACTCAAGGAGCGTAAGCTGTCAGAGCTCATGTTTTTTTAAGTACTGTAAAATGGAACAAGAGCACGAACCAGACTCATATGTAAATCAGAGTCTGATTAACATATCAGTTACCGTACATGCACTGGTTACTCATGCACCTGTGGGGCAGCTCTCACTGAAAATTACTCATTGCAAAAGAAAAATGTAAGATGATTGAACTTCTTAAAGCTTATGGGGATCAGCTAGTGAAAAATCTATATGTTTGCATGCACACAAGTATCATAACAAGGCTACAATCAGGGCTTTTTTTATATGTAAACATCATATCCTGGTTTCAGAGTCCTGGATAAGCCATTATCCTGATTTTGAGAAACCCGACTGTGTCATGTAAAAACAGATTTCTGATCACTGTGTGTGCAGGTGCGTTCTCAAGTTATGAAGCCAGAACCAAGCACAACTGTATTGTTGCTCCTGTCTTTCATCACTGATCATTAGATTGAGAAGCCAAAACCAGAAAAGTGGTAAATACAGCAATATGTCCACACAGACAGAAACTGTTGCGGTAACTCATTTGGTACAGAAATGACAGATCTGCCGGATGTATTGTAGAGGAATCAAAGACAGGCCTACACTGCCACAGATGATCATTTTCAGACTCAACGCAAATTTTCACCTTTATTCACCATTATTCGTTCCAGTTTGACCACCAGACCAGTGATTCCCAAAGTGGGTGGCAACACCTGGTGTGCCTGAAGGACGGACCAAGAAAAATCTTGGTTCGTACATTAGGATTATTGGGGAAATTGATCAGAAGTCGGCAGGGAAATAGTTACTGTGCAAGAAGAATGGTCATGTCAAAAGAATCAAGAAAATGTGTAGCTCCTCTTGGCTTTACAAAGCTTTATAGTGAGTTTCAGCTCATTGTTTAGTTCACAACTTTTACTGTTTGTGCTCACTCTCACAGAATTGAGTTTCAACTATTTCCAATCTTTAAAAATCTTTAATTTAAAATCTCTACACTGCACCCTTCCTTCACCCTTCAGCAGAGTTGTTAAGGCACACAACAGGAAGAAATAGTGATAGTCTGATGATGCAAAGACTGTAAATAGGATCAAAGAAACACTGAGACATCTCAACCCTCAAGAGACACAAAATGTGAGTGTACACTGAAAGCTGTGTCATGAAAAAAATGTGTACGGAGGGATACAGTGGTTAGACATTAGCTATAGATAGCTAGCACCAACTGTGTGTGTGTGTGTGTGTGTGTGTGTGTGTGTGTGTGTGTGTGTGTGGAGTGCAGCTGTACTGTACAGTCTCTTAACTCATCTCAAAACTTAGCAAAGACTCCAAGTCTTTCTATTATCTAGTCCTCTTCTTTGCTTTTTTTTTTTTTTTTTTGTACATTCATGACTTGCAGTCACAAAGCTTTGGGTTAAGGGTGAATTCTTTGCTCAAGCTGAAACATTTTCACTTTGTGTCTTAACTTCACTTTGTGTCACCCAGAGAGAATTTGCATCTCATCCCAAGTCCAGTAAAGTTTTCCTCATCTTCAGTCTGAATAAAACTTTATAATCATAAAACAGGGAGATGAATAATCAGGTTTCTCCTAGACACGATCAAAACCAGGGTAGTAGTGAGCGCGTAAACAGGCTCAATGTGATTATTGTACCTACAGCTGAAGTGAAAAGACATCGTAAGGCACTGAGTCATCTTCAGATTTCACGTGGAATAGCAGTGTCCCTCAGTCTTCCTCCTGTGTCTCTCTGTACTCACTTTGCTTTTGAATATTTTACATTGTGTGTGCCAGCAATCCGACGGCTCTCAGTCGAATATGCTTTGTTCTGTTTTGTTTGTTGCTTGAAGCTGCACTAGCACTGATAGTCGACCCCTACTAGAATTATTAAATGGTGTTTCTTTTTTTGGTTGGTACATTTAATTGAATGGAAGCAATCTGGCGATTTAATAATTAATAAGCAAATAACTGTCTGTGTCTGTCCTCAGGTTGAGGCTCTGAGTGATGCAGTCTCTGTTTGGCGGAGGGGAGCTGGGGCTGCTGGGAGGAGGCGGCGACGCAGGAGGCCTGAAGGAGGATGGCTGTGGCAGTGTGGCGTGGCACTCCTCCGCCCTGCCCCCCGACGATGTCTACTCAGCCTCCCACTTTGCCCTTATCACCGCATATCAGGACATCAAGACGAGGCTGGCCTGCCTGGAGCGAGAGAACAGCAGTATCAAGAGGAAGCTCAAGATCTATGAGATCAAGGTGAAGGGTTTTCACTTGCAAAGCCGGATCACAAAGTCAAATATTACAAGACTTTTGCAAACTAATGTTGTTTTTGTCCTTGTTGGTATCAGACAGACGGTCTTCAGTGCCGACAAGGATAAGGCTGGTTTGTTTTTTGATTTATTGGAAGTGTTTCAGAAGGGGAGTGAGCAAACCACGCACCCTTAGCATTTTTTATTGAGGCAGTGAGATTGTACACAAAGATAAAAAGAAAAGAAAGCGATGGTGGGCTTTGATCCCACACAATACAATAAACATGATTTTAAAAGTGGGAAATCATTGTGCTATAAGCCGGCAGAAGGGTACTTAAGTTTCAACTCATGTTTAAGTTAAATAATGCTGAGTCACATTTGAAATGGCCCGTAAGGAGACCTGGTAGCAACAAAGCAAATTGAGGGGCTATGAAAGGGTTTTGCACACATAACCTCATGTTAAACTGAATGAATAGCTCACAGGAACTAATGTTGCTGAGCAAATAGAGTCCTTTAAAATAATGGACCCCATTTACACCTGGTAGTGACATTCAATCTATATATGGATATTGAGGAGAGGTTCCTGTTCCTGGAACTCAGTATGCGATAGACCTGTCAACAGACAGGGTATAATCCAGGTCACGTCAAGCGATGTTGCTGTAGGGGCTCAATTCGACTTCTGTTGGTTTAAGTAATCTACTGATTCGTGTCTTGATTAACTTGTTGTTTAGTCTGTAAAATGTCAGATAATTGGTGAAAAAAAGACCCACAACCCAAAGTGATATGTTTAAATAACTTGTTTTATTTGACCAACAGTCTAAAAGATATTCATGTTACCTTTATAAATGACAAAGCAGTAAATTCTCACATGTGAGAAATGTATGTAGGAAAGTATGTTTGGCTTTTTTTTTTGCTTGAAAAATGACTAAAACGACGAATTGGCTACAAAATAATTGCAGACTAATCGATGAATTGACCAGTCAATGCAGCTTTGGTCAGTATGCTTCAAACTAAGTGACTGTTGGATCATTAAACTGTCTGAAACCCCCTCCCCCCACGCTATTGCCACAGTTGAAGGGGCAGGCTTGCAGTAATTGGCCAGGTGTGTGGAGGTGAGAAAGCAAACAGTTTGAACGTCCCAGTGCAACACTCAAGTGTGAAGTGATGGGATGTCACATCATACAAACTAGTTTGTCTCAAATATACCTTCCTGGCCTTTAGGTGTCCTTTGTTGATGGATTTATTTCATAAAAATATGACAAAACCTTACAGACGTAAAGCAGCAACAAGGAACGTGTATTTCGGGTTGATTCTGGCGACCCCTGTGGACAAGAGCAGTAGAGTTTCCACAGCCTTGTTTTATTGATTTCAAAGGGAATGTGACCCGCTGGCGGGCATTAAGAATAGATAGAAAAAGGCAATCTTCCCACTGATGATCATATAGAGGTATCAGTATTAAATTGAGACTGTTTCATAACCAGTTAAACTCCCTGTAGTAGGTTTAATATGTGTGTTTCCTTATCCAGATAAAAATGTCCACATTTTAAAAAGCAGGTGTAAATGTGGCCCAAATCTCACTGATTTATGTAAAGGCCAGTTAAGAAATGATTGGGTTCGTGAGGATGTCCTTCAAGAACTGACCTTATAAAGTAAGTTCAGGGACTCTCACAGCTGAACTGAAAGTGATCAACCATCTTAACGTACTGAGAGGAATGCGAAGATAAGTCCCAACCCAGGTATGACCCATCATGTATTGTGGACCATGCTGTATATTTTATGACGACACAGCTTTATTTCATTGATTTTATCTTGTGCTTAATCCCACTGATGTTGACAATACTGGCTTGATTAATGGCGTCAGTACATTAGGATTATTGGTAAAATTGATCAGGAGTCAGCAGGGAAATAGTTACTGTGTAAGAAGAATGGTCATGTCAAAGGGCTGCACACAGAGTTCATCAGGGCTCATCCAGTACGCTCATGAGAGTTCACATAATGGAAACAGTTTTTGAATGTTTATTGCTTTTTAACTGTATGCCTAAGGACAAAGTCTACCCTGATCCCAAAGTTAATGAGGCGTAGAAGTATGTTTCACTGTTACTCTGGATCTAATATATCTTTATCTAATATGTCTGTGACACTGTAAATATTTCTGCATGCAGGCCTGTTTGCTCGGCTAGTGGAAATCAGACTGCTTTTCGGGTTGGATGAGAGAGCAGGTGAAGCGGAAATCCACCTCCTAGCAGTAGCTGGGCCAATGGACAGACATACAGGGGGAAGGAAGGGCGAATGAGCGTGAAGGAATAGCGTGGGAGGACAAAAAGCGAGGAAAAAGTGGGGAAAAAAATAAGCAGAAATAGGGAGTTAAATGGGCTGAAGGATGCAGTGCAAGGCAGAAAAAAGGGAGAAGAAATGAGGCAGTAAAAGGAGATAATGATGTAAAGAGCAAGGGAGAGATAAATGGCTGAAATTAAGAACAAAGAAGGATTAAAGAAAAAAAAAAGTCCACTCCTGGATATTCTTTTTATTATCATTAATCTGCGGTGCTCTGGGAATTATACTGCGAAGAGGCTGTACAGCACCCACTTCCCCCTCAACTTGTGTCACCTAGTTCAGGTACATGAGGACTTTCAACAAGCTGTGCTGTTTACAGTGCTGCAGAGAGGAGTATCACCAGCTAAGCACATGTTTTGTTTTTTGTTTTTTCTCTGAGAATAGAGAGAAGGAAATGCTGGAAATGACAAAAGGTTATCAAAGAGGCTGCTGTACTTGAAATGCTGACGAAGACAATTCCAAAAAGATGCAAGCTGTTTCAGCATTATGGTCTAGTAGGGATACTGTCGGTACGGAAACTGAAACTTTGGTCCTTCTGTGATTTTGGAGTTGTGTGCAAACTGCTACAGAAAGCTTTGATTCTGGGAAATTGCATTAAAAGCGGATGATTAGGGCTGCTGTTGATACATTTTGATATGTTTGGTGGCATTTTTCCCCCCAGTGAAGAATAAGAAAGATGGAAATAGATGGAAAGACACTTTGACTTTCCTCCCCTGACATATGTGTCAATGCAGAAATCCTGCATCCTTTTAGTGCGCAGCTGGTACAAAAGGCTGCAGGCGGACACATCGCTGCTGACTTACTCGCCAAGCGGCAGTTTGTTCAGGACCCATTCCCTGAGAGACAGGTGTTGATTTTGGGAAAGCAGGTGTTGGCTGTTTGGAATGAGAGTCGCCACACCTGTCCCTCTGTACATACAGCATGTGTCTTTTTCTCTTTTTTTTAGATTTGGATAATCAATTGAATTAAAATGGACATCACAATATTTATGTGGGAAAAAAAGACTTTAGCCCAATTGGAAAATAGCCTTTTTTGTTGAGGAGGTCTAAGTGTTGCTGCAGGCTTTCTCTAAATACAAGATGCCTGAGTACAGCTGCTGTAATGATGCAGATGGGAGTGCTTCTTGCTGCTTTGAACATGGGTTGAAGTGAGGTTTTTCTCTCCAGTTTAGAGATCTTGATGCTCGGCAGTGAGAGAATTCTTTGGGGCCCCTGGGAGTTTTTTGCCCATGTTGCGAACATTTACTGTTAAACTGAGCAGAGAGAGGTGTTCTGCTGAATGGAAAAGGGTTGTTTGCTCCTCAAATAGATGTTGCATCAGTGGCAAATGACTTCACACGGAAAATGAAAAGCCCTCCCTGCTTATGGGCACTCTAAATGTAAATGTGTTCATTTAGGTTAAACCACACACAGTTATATAACTTGTCTTGTGTGTTTATATCATAGGATTCTGCCACCAAACAGCAGTTTAGCATGAAACAAAATGCGTACTTCACAAGTTAAACAGCAGTAAATGTGCTGTGCATTAACATATTCTACAAAATCACGATTGCATAATAAAACATTGCAGCATAATCGTAGCTGCATATAATGCAATTATTTCTGCATATTTTAAATGTTTTCATGTGATGCTGTTACACTGCAGTTGCCCCTCTGTTTCTCTGTATTATTTTATACAACAGAAAATCTGATTTCCCCTCTGAATGATAAGCTTTAGTGAGGGAATAAGATAATATCTGGTAAATATGTTACGTTAGAGAAGGTTGGCAATATTTCTCCTATTGTTAACAAATCCCATAAACACAAACAATGAGTTGATTCTAGTATTGTCTGTGTATCCAAAGCCTGATGTATCTTATTCCTCTGTGCCATATAGAGCTCCATTGTTGTCCAAAAACTATTAAAAACACATGTGAGTCACACAGTTGTACTGGGTGACATTCATTCATTACCATAAACAAACACACTGTAGTTTATTTTGACTCAGTCCCACAAACACCGTCCTGCTGCTGTAAATACTCACTAGAGCACAAAATGCTTATTAATTCTCCATTGAAAATAGTCCTCAACAAAAACACTATTTCCTCCTGTTTGAATAACACTGGCTAAAAACTACTGCACCCAGCTGTTTTATAAAATTGCTGCCCCTTTTTAAAAAATGAAACCACATATTTGTCAGGTGTTTTTAAAGAGTTATCCTCATAGAAACCAATGGGCTTCAGGCTGAGAGCCACAGTGAAGGTAGGTAAATCAGAAAGTATCAAGAGACACATTGTTGATGCTCTCCTTGTTAACACTAAGTCTAGGGGGATTGGAAAGCATGATACAAAGCATTTTGCCCAATGTATACAGTTTTAAAGACACAGCAAGGAGGCTTCATTCCACTAAATGTATGTATGTAATCAGTGCATCCGACATATTGTAAACTGCAGCAATATTATCCAAGTTTTTATAAAAATACAGTTTGCTGCAGTTTAAATATTGTGCAGGATGTGCAGTTGATTGAAAAATAGCACCCCATTTTGGCTAATCAGTGTAATTTTGCCACAGTGGAGCAATGAGATGTCTCTCTCTCCTGCCATTTGAGAAAATCTGATACGCAATTATCGTGATTGGCATACAAACACTAAAATTAACATTGTAGCTCCCACATATGGGCCCGTGGAGTGAATTTTTTGAAACTTTTATCAAGAAAATATGGACAGATGGCCAAACAGCAGTCCAGATTTTATTGTGTGGGATGATATGAGAAAGTACGGCAAATAACTTGCTATGTAAATTCACAGATTCTGTTTTAGGAGAACTGAAAAATAAAATCTAGTTCATGAGAAGAAAAAAAAACATGACTTCAGTTAAAACACCCTTATGCTCTGAGTGATATCTGGGCCAGACAGAAGTTGCAGATGATGCAAGATGAATCTTTAATGATCTCAGTGTGAAATCAGAAAACAGCAGGAGACTGAAATATAAGAACACAAACAAACAGAAATTATAAATAAGCAAAAAGTGTTCATTCACTGGATTAGTTTAATATCTTGTTCTCTACATCAAGTCTCAACCGTATCCTTGTTATGAAATGTCTAATTCTGTGTCTCTATAATGCTTTATTTTTTCTGCAGTTCCCTATGATCAGCGAGTTTGGGGAGAACACTAACTCCTACTGCTCCTTTGAGAGCAAAGAGACGGCGCTGCTGCACTCAGAAAATGGCAACCTGCAGCAGAGAGTCAACGTCCTGACCCACGAGGTAAGAGGAGAGATGAGGACAAGATGGGAAGAGACAGAGAAGAAGGAAGAGGGAGGGTGTGGGGGACATGGGAGTGAGGCAAGAGATGGGAAAGGAAGAGGCAGGATGGGATATGTACCAAATTAGAGTAAGATCCACTTTCACTATGTATTCATTTACTTTTCCTTTTTTTTAAAACACACTGGATGGAATAAAAACCTTATCACACCAAAGGTTTTTGTCAGTGCTTGAATTCTGCAGAAATCCCTCCCTGCATGTGAATTAATTGAATTAAAAGTGAATTAAGGCCAACCCTGGTGGACGTACGCTGAGAGACCACCAGAACTAATTAAGCACTAAAACTGCTGTCCAAGCAAAATTACTGAGACTGGATGTTTTTAAGAAACCGTCCAAGCAGCACTGTGACATGGGATTTTCACACTGGTGTTCTATTTCTGAGACGCAATATAATTGGGACCAGAACTGGCCAAGATTTTGCTGAATGTGTACGCCTTTAAAAAATAAAGTAGTCTTATTTTCCCACACATCCTGCAGTGTTTGTTGGGATAACACAGCGTGATTTAAAATATAATTCTTGTGTATTTTTTAAAGAAAAAGGCCTGAGAATCAGTTTTATTACTTTACTGCCATACTTGAATGCAGTTCCTTTCCAAAAATGGGCTGGAGTGAGAGCAGGAGAATGGCCTTAATGTGCTTTGGCTGCTCATTCCCATCGCTTGTAACTCTATCGTTTTCTATGACTGTGTGAACGAGAGTGTGGGGAAATAGAAATGAGAAACGACTGACACAGGAAGGCAGTGGTAAAACTGGTAGTGGCAGCGGTAAAAAGGAGCTAGAGAGCAAGAAAGAGGAAGGAAATGCTTTATGGGAGCAGCAGAAACGATTAGCGGGACACACAAGGTCACATGGTGATGAAATGTGCCACGGTTCACTGAGCATGCTCTGTTGGGACAGGCCCGCGCACACACACACACACACACACACACACACACACACACACACACACACACACACCTTATACTCTTTCTTTTGGTAAAGTGGTGACTTGCAGTTATCGACGAGAAGTAGAGACAGGCGACATGTTTCCTGTCAGAGACCACATTAGAGGAATTTAAAGGTCGCAAAAAAAATGTTTTTCAGATTAAATGTAGATAAAAATGTAACTGCACAGTTTCTTCTAACATAATGTCTGAATCAAGTGACAGTTAAGGCTACCAACTGAGCATGTTGTGTGTATATTTCATTTGGAAATACCAATAAAGCACAATATCAATTGACCTTAATGTGCGTTTGGTTTTATTAATTGAATTTGAGGCCACGTGTCCCTGTGTTAAAATCTATTTTTTTAGCTTATACTTAAATTACACAGCATTTCCAGTAGTAAACAGGTGTTGTTGCAGCGACAAACTGTACACATTGCACAGAAAGAGGAACAAACTACTGGTTAATAAGGGCCCAGCACCCTACCAGGTTAATCCAACCATCATGACAACAATAACTCTTCTCTCTCTTTCATTTTGCTTTAATCCGTGCTTTCTCAGTCATTTGGAGGCAAAACATGGCATGAGCAAAAAGCACCACATAAAGAAATAACTGTCCTGATACAGTTGAACTGAGGCCAAGAAAAATAAAGGCATTTCTACATTAAAGGAGAATTTATTACAATGTGGGTTTTTGTTCACTGTTTTGGAAATCTATACAATAACATAAAGTCTTCTGACGCAAAATTGATCCGTGGAAAACCAACCCCAACATAAATACGTTTATTTCTTAATAGAAGGAGACTAAGATGAACCTGTGGGCTGTCAGAATTGTAATAGTAATAGTTTAAAATTGAATTAAAACTATAAGGAATATTGCGGTGGAAACAGACTGTGAATAAATCATGACGTACATGAAGCATGTGACTTAAAAGTCCACTCAAGCTTCTGCTCCACTGAAGAGACTTAAAAAGACATCACATTAACACATGAAACAAACATGAATGACATTTTTCCACCAGGAAAGCTGGCTAATGTCACAGTGAGAGTTTACTTTGATGAGTACAGCGTTGGCCAAAAGGACCAAAATAAGATCCTAAATGTAACCCTATGTTTAAATTGTCCACTCTCGGTGACCCTCCCCATCTTTCCCCTCCCCTCTGATGAACTTAAACTGAAGTTCAAACAGGCCCAGCTCGAGTAAAATACCTTACAGAGGATGCGGAAAACCCGTTTTCCACCGTGTTTTTATACCACTATTTGTAAAGGACAAATTAAACTAAAAATAATCTCCAGAAAAACTAGAACAAAACCAGACAGCTTTGAACTTAAGAGGCCACTTAAAACAACAGATCAAGCCCACAAACAGCATCCAGAGGAGAGAATTTAAAAGGTGATAATGAGAAATAAATCTTTTTTCTGTTCTCTTCTCTTTATAGAAATCTAGCCCTGGAGTAATCCTGCTCTCCTTGGTCACGATGCTGTTGACAAGCTGTCCTCACCTTGGTGCCTGTTTTCTACAAGCATATGTTACCATAGACACACTGAATAGGCCTCAGTGCTCCGGCACACTGCAGTGATATACAGTACCTCTTTGTCCTTGATGGCTCTCTGTTTATCTCGCTGCCTTTCTGCTGCTCCCACTCGCATTCTCTGCATTGTCTAAAGTGAACGTATCCTCCAACAGAAATCTAACTTCCGTATCCTCGCTTGCTCTTCATTTCATTCAGTTTGGTGTGTGTCACTGCCCTCAGATCTGTCAGAAAGTATGTGATTATTGCATCCAGTGACATTCAACCCCCTTATTATGCCGCAGTCTGAGGAGAATATGCCAGGAAGACATCAAGAAATTCTCTTTTTTAAAAAATAGTGTTGAAGATGGTTGAAAACATGATTTATCCATTTGTCGAGATGAGCGAGATTTTGCTCTGTGCCTGCTGAGGTGTCAGGATTTCGGTGTCCTAAATTTGCTTGGTTACGTAACCCTTTCTTAAGAGACACATTTGATGACTCTCACAATGGAAGTTTTTGGTGTTTTTTCCCCCCTCTCTCTCTCTCTCTTTGTAAGGAAGTTTGGAAACTGACAAAGAAGGAAAAAAGTAAATGTATGTCAAGCCGATATTATTATTTTTTTCCTTCGGTCTCAGCTTCTCTTTCTCTGTATCTTGCGTCAGCTCCAGAAGAGGAAAGAGAGAGAGGAGCAGCTGGAGGATGTGATCCAGGCCTATGAGAAGATTCACATGGAGAAGAGCAACCTCCAGAGGGATCTCGACAAGATGGTCAGAGACATTATTCAGTTCATTGCACTGTGCATTCGTTATTTTACAGTAGCTTTACTCATAAGCCATATGGCTCATTAATGAATTTCACACTCTTCTGATGAGGGAGGGGGGGTGAAAATAAAATGTATAAACTCGGCATGGCTGACATCACTAATGAACATAATAGATGAATACATTAAGTCACTAAATATTGCATATGGACACCCTCGTGCATATGTGTTTGTGGAGCTGTTTTTAAGATTTGGATTCAAAAAGAGGAAATCTTAAAGCAACAATAAACAATAATCATTTAGACAAAAGTGAGCTTCCAACAGGTCCTTTCAACATGACAGTGCCCCCGTGCACATAGTCAGGTTCATACAGTAATGGTTTGATGTGGAAGTGCCAGACCTCAGCCCCTTCCAACAACTTTGGAACGAACTGGACCACAAACTGTGAGCCAGACTTCAATGTTGGACCTCACTGATGCTCTTGTGTCTGAATGAGATTAGATCCCTGAAGCCAGGCTCCAAAATGTGGTGAAAAGACTGAAACCGGAACAGTGGAGGCTTTTATAGCAGCAGATTTAAAGGGGTGATGTAGCGATTTAGTATTGCACTTCCTTTAAGGATAGGTTAACATGTTTTTTAAGTATGTTTTAAAGCAATAACAGCTTCTCCATATGTACAATGAAAGTGTTGTTGGTTGCTGTAATTGATCCTTTATTAATGCATTTCCAATGTAGGTGGGGAACAAAACTCACTTTCTAAGCAAAAATGTATTCCAAAGTTCAGCCTCTGTTACATAATATGTTACATAATCTGAGTTGGACAAATCAAGTGGATATATTACAAAGTGATATTCGCTCTTTTTGCTACAATCCGTCCACTACTGCTCAGAAAGGAACTGTTGTGGAAACTTTGTACAAACCCAAACTTCTGAAGCCTCATATTAACTCAGGATGAACTTTAAAATATATTTTTGTACAGATTGAGGACAGGGGATTTTGTCCCCCACCAAAGTTTCTTTAGGGAATAAAATAGTTTCAGGGAATCACAAGAGACAGACTTAAGCAGTGCTTAAAATTGAAGCAGCAGAAGCTGAGATATCTTGCCTTATACTCCCTACGGGTCAAGCTGAAAAAATGTTAGATCCTACATTTCCCATAATGCAACATTCATTCTCTCTCTCCGCATGAAGTCTCAACCCCAGTGTGAGAAATAACACAGAAGTCCTCACGGTTATTTTTTCAGGGTTGTTTCCTCATGACGGGTAGACTGAGCTTGGTGGAGATTCTCTTTAATGCTCAAGGTTTTTAGATTAAATTAAATCACCACCACATATGGGTATAATATTGAGCCGTTCATATACTTTTGGCCATGTAGTGTATTTGTCACCATCCATCTGCACTAATAATTCAGATTCTAATGAATTCTGATGTAGATTACACCATGTTGTCATTACCTGCTTTCAAATTGAATACAGAATTCTTTTCACACACAACATTTATGGACTTGGGATGATGTAGCAGCAAAGAACGTTAACTGCACTGCTCCCTATTTTTCTGACATTGTGTTTGTCTTGTGAAAGAAAAGCCTCCCAGGGAGGTCAAAGGTCAGTGTCAGCTACAAAACAGCTCCTGAGGCTGGTGGGGACTGAGGACAAAAGAAGTCCACAAGGGCTCAAATTCAAGCCTACAAAGCTCAGTTTACTCGTCACAATGAGCCTCAGCCTGTTAAAACAGTTGTCTGTGAAAATAACCCCTGATGCTCTCATTAGGCTTGACTTTATAACAATAAGACTGTGTTAGGAACTGGAGACGTGGAGATTTTAAAATGCAGGTGCTTAGCAGGCGGGGATGTTCTAATGAAAGATGCAATCAAGTTGCACTATGGGGACTAACCGTCACTCACTAACCTTTTCTCAAACTCAAACTGGCTTTGGGCCAGTGTTAGTATTGCCATCTCATTAGAGAGTCACTTCAGTGTTCAAGTACTACAAGAAAGCGCAATATTCTGAATATATTTCCATTACTAACATCTTACAAATACGTAACAGAAATGCAGTTTCTATAAATGTTTTATCATCTTTGTTGTTCGCAGCCAATCAACAAATAGAGCCCTGAAACTTTTGTCCTTTTATCAACCGTTTGCATACAATTGCAGGCACCTTTAAGCTAACCTTCTTGCTATTACCTCATTGGGTCATATTTTATGCCACAAAAGAATTCAGTCTGTATATCGCTACCTCGGGAAAACGGAAAATGAAGGGAACTGTAATGTATACGACTGTCCTTTTTCTCTCCGGACATTTCTTTTACATTTGGGACTCTGATAGTACGACAAAGAAGAAAAAAAGACACTTCACGAAACTCATTGAATCACTTTGACTGTGCACTTAAGACTGCACTGCTCATTTCAAAGTAATTGCCTTCTGAGCGAACCTTTTTCATTACTTCTTATACAGAGTCAACAGTCCTTCAGAGACAAGAGTCCTTTTAAAGTAATTCACTGAAATTTCTCCCCTGACACAACACACTTACTGTTTTTTGACTCTAAGGAAGCATAAAGTTTTAATTTAGCAAATTACTGCCATTGTTCTTTATCCAAGATACTGCAAGTTCCTGTCATTTACAGCATACTATAATTAGTTTTTAGCTTTGTCCTCTAACAATAGATGTGCATTAGTGTGCGACTGTGAAAATCTAATTTTTTGAACACATTTCTGTAACTGGTTACAAATCAGAGTCGATCCAGACCAGGTAGAGGCTTCCAACTGAACAGATTGTCTGGCTGGTCTTTCCCAGATCCCCTCTGTGATAATAAACCATCTCATATGAGAGTGAAGTCTATTGAGCAGCTCTAGCCAAGCTGCATCAGCAGTTTTATGTGGTCCGAGTGATTAAGGGATGTGGTGCGCCAGAGATGTTGGAACTGCCACCTGCCAACGACTGACACAGTGTCAATGTCACCTGAAGCTGTCGCTCCAACTACCTACCAGGCCTCATTGATCTTTAACCTTCCAGCAGAGCACTCACTCACTAATCTACATAATATTCATACTTCTTCGACAAGGAAAGACTCAAAACTGGAAGTGAAATGAAATATATACTTCCTTGCAGGGCTGACACATGCCTGCACCACCCTTAATTTCCATCTCCACCGCTCTGCTCTCCTCCCCCCCTATTTCTGGTCAACCTATCGATATAAATACAAGCAGACATCAACACTGACATGCATGTAGATCTGTCCAAACCACGGCATCAGCACAGCATTAAAACAAATGTACATTTTTACAAACATTCCCATGAGATGCCAGGGTGGTTTAATATTTCTCATGATCTGTTCTGCAACATGTAAAACACTCAAGGCCAAGATGGGTTGTACAAGAAACAAGACTTTGGATAAACTGATGAAATAAAATACCAATCCCTGGTTGCAAATGTCAGTAGTATAATATCAGTGCCAGGATATGAAGGTCTATTAGTCATACTGATATTTAGCAGCCTTGGACGTGTTCACAAACTGACTTTTAGCAGGTTAAATAGAAATAAAGCTCTGTAAATATTTGAATACGGTATGCTTTTAATGTAATTGGTAGATAAAAATAAAGCATTGAAAATGTGTATGCTTACAGACCAGCCTGGTGGAGAAGCACGTCGAGCGTATCCTGGGCCTGGAGTCAGCTCTGAGGCAGAGGGACAACTCCCTGCAGAAACTCAACATGCAGCTGCACAGCAAAGACATGCAGTATCTGCAGTTGCACGCCGGCCCGGACACACACAGTGAGTGACTTTCATTCAGGATGTATATTTATATTAGAAACCACTCGACTGATGGCAACTATACCACCAACAATTTCTATTACCATCATTACTGTGATTATCATTGCTTTCAGAGGGCGCCTTGAACACAGCACTGCACTCCCATCTTTATTAGCATTTGCAGTTTCTTTGGATAAACCACAAGTGAGCAACTTTTTAACACTTCAGTTTGAACACAGCAGTCACAGTGGCACCAGAAAACAAGGCTCTTTGTCTGTCTAGCTGTAACTACTCCACTTATGACATACTACACTAACAGCAGCTAGTTTATGGATGTTACATAGTTAACAATGAGCTAAATTATCAGTGCAATTCAGTGTTTTGTTGTCTTTTGGATTAGATTAATGTTACATTAAATGTTAAAAGTCTTAATTTATATAAACAGATGTCATCTTTTACAAGTCTTTTATCACAGAGCTGTGACCGAATAATCAGCTATTACAAGCCGAGCCTACTCATCCTATCGCTCTGAATAAAACTGATGAGTGTCGGTTTAATTGGAATCTGGGCTAACCTTTCGTGGGTGGAAACCTCCCGAAAGGTACAAAACATAGCCCAAATGATCACAATGCTGCTGAAAACTATTTTTACCCACCCAATTAAATAAAAAGTAGTCTGGCAACACTGCTATATGTTCTAACATTCTGCCTTTTATTTATTAGCTACCAGCAGGCAACACTTACACATTAATGTTTTGGCTCTTTTAACAAATGTTATAACCAAAAAGAAATCAGTAATCAGAAAATGTATAAAAACTTACATACATTTAAAGTTTCTCTGCTTTTGGTTATAATGTTTTTAGTGTATTTGTTGAGCTTTAATGGGGAGGACGATTATAAATTAAATGTACCGTCATACCCTCCACATTCCTTATTCATATATCAATATATTAATAATATTTAATATAATGTGTGTATTATCCAGATTTCAGAGGGTGATTTGGTTCAGTAGTTTGGTTCATGTACGATCTGAAAAAGCCAGAAAAATCATCTCTGTTAATCACCACTCATATTTTCTCTATGTCTCAAATCTTTAATTAAATCCAACAATCTGGCCAGAAAGCATTTTAACTGAGGTCAGGTTAATCCTCGGCTTGTTGGAGAGAACCAACTCGGACATTTCTTCGCACTCCCCAGTCAGAGTCGCAGAAAAAGAGACCTCCAATCTACGAGGGTGCTGGTGATTGAAATTCAATCATTCTGGCTCCAAAACATTTGGAGTGAAGTGCCTCGTACTGTAAATTTGAGGATTTCTCTGTATTATTCAGCCTGTTGCTGCCATCTGCACTGCTGAGTGATCTCTATTGTGATTAGTCTGCGTTACCAAATGCTAGAAAACCTGTGAGATAATTCCACTTATTACAATGTAAATTTATTCCTGTATTAAAATGTGTAAAAAAGTTTCAACGATGCTTCAAACTAGACAGGTCACTACACTAATTTCTCTGCATTTACGGGAGAAAACACGTATGAATAAAATCTTAAATCACTTTTCGGATTATAAAGCCAAACCAAGTCAGCAAAGTCCCTCATTTTGAGACTGCAGCACAGAATTATTAGATAAAATATGCAGTCCACTGCTGCTATAGATATGATTCTGTTCAACTTTAAGAACTTCTAGAGTTAGTGGATGCTAAACTCTGCCCTCTTCGACGACGTGGGTGGCTGATGGAAACATGGAAGAAATGTGTCACTGCCACCTCAACAGATGCCTCTATTGATAGTATATCTTGATGAGGAGGAGGTAACATTTTTCATAGGCATTAAAACCCTCATATTTAATGGTAAAAAGGGTGTATACGCTTTTTTTGTTCTTTAATTTGTGTTAGAGGAGGCAGAGTTTGCAAGGTAGTATTGCTGATTAATAAGAGTGTGTGTGAATGAGGGCGATAAAATATGTTGTAGTGTAGACTGTTTACAGTATGTGTGCACTTGTGACTGCAAAAATGAGTATACTGGTGAGGAGGCAGGAAGAGCTGGAATATAAAAGATGATACCGCTGCACTGTTACCGTGTCTTCTGGCTCAAGGACTGAGTCTGTGTGAGCGGAGCTGAATCACTAACATGCCCACACAGATCACATCACCCAGGTACAAACTGAAAGATGCTGCCCTTGGAAGAAGTCAGCTCTTTTGCTCTTAAACACTCTATTGTACAACTGTGGACAGAAGAATGCTGCATTAGTCAGGGGGAAAGCAATGAAAATGCAGCGATTTGTACATTCTCTATTCTCTTTTTTCCCCCTCCCAGTGCTGGACTGTCCAGCTTTGACCCTTCAGAGCTCCCGCAGCCTGGACGCCCTGTCCGACCTGAAGCTGCAGCGGCTGGAGGCGGAGCTCGAGGGGGCGCGGCACGAGGCCCAGGGGGCATGTCAGCGGGAAGAGGAGCTGAAGGGGGAGTGTGAGAGACTGAAGGAAGATATGAGGATGCTGCAGAACAGCCAGAGGGACAGGGTCAGTGTTAGTTTTAGACTGTTTGGGGTGTGCCACATGGGTGGAGTTTACTGCATCTGACAGTTTGAATTATGTCAAGAATGCTATCAGAGAAGCAGTGGACTTCAATACTTTCTTGTGCTGCATTCCCTGGATCATGATTGATTTGCAGTACTAAGAGAAATACATTCGTGTTAGATGGGAAGATTGATACCACTCTCATGTCTGCACATTAAATATGAAACTACAGCTAGCAGCCTGCATGATACTCACTGCCAGAGGCTGGTTAACATAGCTTAGCTTAGCACAAAGACTGGGAACAGCTAGTCTGGTTCTGTCCAAAGGTAAGATAACACAAGACCAATTGTAAAAGCAATTTTTTTTAATGTTTATGCTTCAGTGGACTTCTGGCGGAGGGTTATATATTTACCATACAGACATGATAGTGTTATCAATCTTTTCACCACTCTTCAGCAACAAAGATAATAACTCAAGATGTCAAACTATTCCTTGAGTTCTTCTCACAGCTGATTTGCTGCCCTTTAATGACACATCACAGCATCGTATTACTCACTAAACAGAGAATAAAATCTTTCCAAATACAGTAATTCCTCTCTTTGTTGGACCAATATTGCAAAAAATGTGGGCTTCCTGGATGAGCCATAAAGGTCCACAGTTGTGCATGTATACACACATAAACATGCATACAGCGCTTGAATAATATTTATCAATGACTAAGACCTGTTTTCACCCACGCCCTTTTTTTCCTTTTAAACATGTTGTCTCGATTGGCTCCTGCTGTCAGATTTTGTCCAATTTTCTACCAGCACCTGCATGCTAATCTAATTTCACGCTCTACTTCTGCAGGAAATGACTTCTCCGTGCAAGCAGTGTGATGTGGAGTGGATAAAGAAGGTGGGAGATGAGCAGTAAGTGACCACAGCAGATCTCTGGGCGGAGGGAGAAGGAAGGGAGGGAGGGGGTGGGGAGGGAGAAAAAAAATAAAGGAACAATGGAAGGAAAGCAAGAGCACCAGGTAGTTATGTCAGAAAGGAGAGATATTGGTTGAGGAGCAACGAGAAAAGAAAGAGCAAAAGGAAAAATGTTTGACTAAAAGCTGTTGTTCATCTGTATCTTTATTCTCCTGCTGTGATGTGCTCGGGCCGACCTCCAGGGGCCTCATTAGAAACTAGACGAGCTCTCCATCGCTGGCTAACTGGGTTGAAACACAGTATTAATAAAGGAGTGTTATTGATTGTGCACAAAAAGCTGCATTTACTATATACTACACTATCTGTGCATTCAGCTGTAGCACCATTGTTTCTGTATTTAACACTTGCTCAAGGATGTTTTGGCAGGAGATTGGTCTGAGCAGTAGGGGGCAGTGTAAGCACAGTGTAGGATACCTTCCTGTCCATTTCCTCATGCCTGTGTACTTGTTGGACATCTTTATGAGGCATTAAATCCAGTCCCATATATCTATACATTCTTCCTCCTATTCTTCCATACCTGAAACCTACACAAAATACACACACAAAAAAAGGAATATTAGTAAGATAGGAGAATTCAAGCTCCTGTGTTTTTACTCATTTGTCATTTCTGTCACTTTCAGCCAACAGAGCAAATGTGTTTAACTTGTACTGAGAGGAAAGAAAGTAACTTATCTTTGTGTCAAATTGCCCCAGGCTGTTTACAAGGTGTTGCAGGTAGAAAGAAGAAGAAAAAAAAGTTAAAACCACAGTAGGTTGGCCAACTACTCCCACACAATGAAACCCCAGAAGTGTTTCGATGGGGAACAAACTGAAAGTAAATGGTGCGGCAGTGAAGAGAATTTTTACTGAGTGTGTGGTGGAAGCCCACTGCTTTTTCCAGACCTTGGTCACCTTTTGGTTTTACTCAACAATATCACTTACTCCCACTGAAAACGTACAATGCCTATACTTCGTTTCCTGGTGCTTTTTCTTGTAATTGGGCTCATTTAGTGTAAACTGCACAGATTGATATGGAAGATATTGCATGTGCTTTGGAGCGTATTAACACACCACCCTTGCCCTAATAATCATCAGCACTTTCTGATCTGGAGGAGAGTCTATTGGGGGAAAGTGGGGTTATTTAAAATTGAGGATTTTGTCAGTAAATAACTTTGACTGTGATACTGTAACTATTGATACCAGCAATTGAAAGGAAACTGATTTTATCTTTCATTCTTCACAAGTATTTTTGTGATTACCTAGGCCTGTGGTATTCAAATGGTTTCTGGCATGCCCCCATTCAGAAGCCGTAGGAAGATTTATATCTATATCTATATCTATATCTATATCTATATCATTAACAACGATAGGGGAACCGAAACATATTAAAAAAATGCAAAATAGCATCAGCAAACTTGTTTATTTATTCCCCCTGCATAAATTATATGAATTCAACTTAGATTCATTCCATATTTTTTCCCCTGGTCATTCACAGGCCGTCTTAAGGGACTCCGTGTCCCACTAGTGAGGCCTGCCCCACAGTTTGAGAACCGCTACTGGCCGATTTTCATGAATCATGGTGGAAGGGTGCAATATGAGCCCAGGAAGAACACATTTTATTTTGGAAGCAGATCTGAATCATGGAGCAGATTCACACATTGACCTGTCACATTGTTAGATAGGTCGACTGCACATGTGTGAGCGAGCGTGTCCTAATTAAAGTAAATGCCTTGCCGTGACTAACCATACAACAAACATAAAGGTCACCTCAAACATCACAAACAAAATACCTTGACGGTTGTCTGCACTCTACTGACTGCGCACTTCTTTGTTTTTGTAAAAGCTCTACTACTTCAGCACTCCTCTCATTTTCCATCTGTTTTCTAAGAGACAGTGCAGTTTGTGGCTAATTCTGCAACTTCTCACATCTTTCATGACTACATTTATGGAATTTCGTTTGCCTCACTCGTAACTAATGATACGTGTTCAAACTACCCTCACCAACCACAAGCCAGGGTGCTGTACAGACGCTGGCAGCCACCTGGTAGGGCACCCCCTCCCCTCCACTCTTCAGTATGCAGAGTGACTGACTAATCCCTCTTCAACTTTCACAAAGTGAGAGCCAATTTCCAATAAATCACGACATGATGATTTGAAATTGAAGAGGAATTCCCATTTTTAGTTGGTAATTAAAAAAATTACCAATAAAGTAATGACATGTTTGGAAAATTATATTGAGCCAGGCTTTTTAAACCATTAAATTTAGCTTTTGGAAATAATTTTCACATTTTAATTGATAATTAGCTTCCCCAAAACCCACTTAAAGTTACCAGGTAGCAAAGCTCAACATGCTAAATGTGTTGTGCATCATGGCTTGGTGTGAGAACTGTTTGACACCTCTCTGTGAGGGGTTAAAGTGGTTCATGTGTGTAGTAGAAGTAGAGTGTGACAGAGTGTGGACTGCAGAGTGTGAAAAGCCCCCACCATTTAACACCTGTTCCTTCATGAGGCCGGAGACATGCAGCTTATACATTTCTTTTAAGCAGAGGTGGGAAGTAACGAAGTACAGATAATTCATTGTACTTCACTTGAGTCATTTTGCATTTCCTACACTTTTACAGAAATATCTGTAAACAGAACATTACTTTAGTTTCAATGCATTTAATGTGTGATTATTATTATTATTACTTTACATCATTGACAAAAACGCTGAGTTTCCATTAGCTTTGCACAGAAACAGCCAGAAGAAATCTCCTCAGAGAAACCAAGAGAGTAGTTTTATACTTTAAGTACATTCTACAGCCTGTACGTTTTCACTTTTACTTGAGTAAAGAAGTTAAAACCGTTCAAAAAGAATGCTTCTGCCACCTCTGCTTTTATGTACCAGCAAAATCTTAAGAAAACACAATGTCGTTAATGTGAGTGACTGAGCGCCAGTAGGTTTGAATAAGAACATTTATTAGACAACAAAGAGGAGCTCAGATCTCACAGGCAGCTGCAGTGACGGCTCTTTCTTTGAAACGTCTGATCAGAGGTCAGATTTCAGCCCACACTCTCTTCACTTCATCTCCCACATATATACACGCACACACACAAACACACACATACATACTCTTGCACCTGATCGATTCAGTGGCATGACTCTTTCATCAGCGCCGCATTGGCATTATCACACCCCTCCTACACACTGTACTGTACATTGTACAGTAAGTACGTGCAGTTACAAGCATACAAGCAAAGAAAAAAGGAAACACAATGCAAAATAGGTATGCTGCAAGTGTGCAAAGTATTTTTAGACATACAAAAACAAACAAGGGACCTGCATTTCACACAGAATACAGGCAATGAATGAGAAATGTTCTTCCTGCGTGCGCTCGTGTTCCCGTGTTCACACATCTGCTTTACTACCTGGTGCCAAGCGTGAGTGGTGCTGCAGTCTGACCCGGGTCTCTGACACAGATTGTCGAAACACACAAGCGCATTTTGAAAAGTGAGACAGTACACGTGTGAAAAGGAAGAGGTGCATTAATCAAAAAAAGTGTTAACAAATTCAGCATTTAGAAAGAAAGAAGAACAGTGCAGAGTGTAAACTGAGAGTAGTAAGGAGATGAAGTGGATTACATTTTACAGGCACGTCAATTAATATCAATATTATACTGCATGCTCCACCCACCATGCCAGTAAGTAACCTAATGATTGTGATTTTCCTATTGATGCACTAAATGTTTCTGTATGTTTGCATGAAGCTTTGACCCAAAGCCACAAATATAGTACGTGCATTTCTTTTTTTTTACCACAGACGACCCTGAATCATTTGTTAGTACCAGGTTCCACCAACTCGTACCACAAGGTTGGATGGTGTTTGTTATAAGGTGGGGGATGACAGGGGGTTTGATACCCCACTCTGACTCTGTCTGAGTCATAGAAGGTGGGTGGAAAACTAGGTGGGCCAGTTGCAAAAGCCAACTAACCAGTGGAAGTTATGACTTATATTCAGTTTTTTTGAAATTGTGAACTTCCTTGAAATGGGGTACCTGATTTTATTTTAAATTATTTTAGGGTGATAACCTTAAAAAGCAGTGTATCCTGGTTTTAAACATGTGTGAAGTGAATCACTTGGGTAGGCAAGCATGTTTTCAGTGCACGTCTTTTTGGATAGCTGCAAAGTATAAAGAGGTGCAGAATGAGATTGTAGTTCAGACAAAGTAATATGCAGTGTTCTTTTTAGGTAGCAAGCTTACACACACAAGTGGGAAGACTCAATTAAGTTAGTACGGGGGTATGCTGAGGAACATGTTTTTAATTAGACAGTGTGTTTTATTTGCTGTGTAGGCCGGATACACAAGTGTCTTTCTTTTCTATTCTTTTTTCTTCGGTGCAGTGGAAGTGCATATTTATTCCTACTGACGCAGAAGAAATCCCCAGGATATGCATATGTGTTGTTTGTCATGTTTTTATCTGCCACGATCTCTATGGAAGAGAGAACTGAGTCAAACTCTAATCATGTGCAGGTTAAATGGATAATCGGATGTGCTTTATCAGATCTACTGTAAGTCTGGCAAAAATGTAGCATTTGCCTTCAACAACTGTGTTTTTTCTGTATGTTTCCATTCGTCAGTACTGTTCAAGTTGTCTGTCATACCTTTTTAAATACAGTAATTGATAAAAGAAAGCCACTTGGGTGTACTTTTTTACAGTCAAGACAAGTTTATTTTTATAGCACATTTCACACGCAAAGACAATTCAAGGTGCTTAAGTATGATGCATTAAAAACACAAAAAAGAAAGAACAACAATTTCAAAAGGTTAAAGTGCAAATGAAAATAATAGAAACCTTTTAAAGGAAATGAAAACGCTAAGAACATTCATGATGACTGTTTAAGTTTCAGTCAGGCAGGGCACAACAACCTCGATGTGAAGGTGGTCAAAGTTTAATTTCCTTGAGTTTGCTCATTTATTGTTGCATTTATGAAACTAATCAAAACTGTCTGGTCTTGATACAAAAAATTACTCACACTGGCAGGATAAAGTGATTATCTTAACAGATCTCCAGTTAGATTTCGAGGTTTCACGTCTCGCCCATCTTGCAGTTAAAAGTTTAATCTACCAGTTTCAATGCTAGAATGAGTAAATTTCAGGTCAAGACTGGGGAGTTTATAAAAATTGGTTAGAGATTCGAGATAAGCTGCCTGTTATCAGATGTGGCCCTGGCAGTGACTAACTACTATAGTTGCCTATGCGAAGAAAATCCTTTGCTGTAATGCAACCTGCAATATCTGCTTTTAACCACATACAGTAAATAACACCCTTTATCCCATCTAAGCTCTAATATAGATGCTTAGACATGTACCGTGTGTCTACTTAAATAATGTTTGCCTCGCTGTAATTTATGTTGTGGGATTCAGATCAGTTTCAAGCTAATGAGTTGAGACAAAGTCAGCTCGTTGCCATGGGTAAAAGACACAGAAGCGTGTAAGCCAACCATCCTTGTTTACGGTTCTCAAAATAGAGTTGCTCTGTCAGTACGGCCCCTGAGAGAGTCATGACACATCTTGCATGAAATGGTGTGATTTTATGCACTTCAATTATGCGCTGTGACTTTCTCTCTAAAAATATAAGCCTATAAGCCTCTCAATTAGCCAGCCTGATTTGTGAGGCTGTGTCAGTGCTGCAGAGCTCATTCAGTTTAAAGAGGCGATGAAGATCTGTGATGCAGTTCAGCTGTAGTTGCATGCATTTTGCAATATTAAAGAAAGCCCTCTGATAAACTTCCGTCAACGGTGTGTATGTTGATGATTAAACAGAGATAACAGTGTTTGTATTCTTGTATGGTTCTAATACGTTATCATTCCACCAACATTGTAATATTCTGTAATGACAATGATTATAATAATTACATAATTGCCTCACTTCCTCATTCCTCCAGGGTGAATTTAGCTCTGGCCTACACAGAGTTAACAGAGGAGCTGGGACGCCTCCAAGCCCTGAGCTCCAAGCAGACGGAAATCCTGAGGAAAGCCTCACAGGAGCAGGCTAGTCCAGGTAAGCATCTACAGTACACATATAAACTGCATATCAAAAATGTGGTTTAATGTATTTAGTTGCTTTACTTGAATAAAAGTAGCATCACCACTCGGTAAAAACACTTAAATACAAGTAACTCCTGTATTCAAAATGCTACTTAAGTGACTACTTTTAATAGCTTATCAGGTTTTGTGTATAAAAAAGTAACTAATGATCGCAGCTGTTGAATCAATATAGTGAAGTAAAAAAATACATATATTTTCCTCTGAAATTAAGCGGAGTGGAAGCCATCTAAAGTAATAGTAGTAGTATCAAGCAAATTACAAGTATCTCAAATTAAGTACTGTATTTGAGTAAATAAATTAAATTCCCAGATATAATTTGAATATTTTTCAATATATGCTGGTAAAATTAAATATAATTTCAGTAAAATCAGTACATTACTGTAGGCCTCTAAACAATGGCCTGTGCCACTTTAATGCCATAGAAAGAACTTCTGGTTGTGATTTGTTGCTTCAGTTTTCTCGCTAAATAAAAGATATGTTGATGATGAGTACAACTTTCAAGTGCTAAACAGTAGCAACACCTTTCTCTTCCTGCACATGCAGTCACACACATAGCTAATGTCTCACAACTGTGCAACTACTACCTACCACAAACCCAAAGGCACCTCGTGCTTTGCCTTTAGTGAGCTGTAGATAACAAAAACTGGAAAACGAGGTTGCGTAAATCAATTAACACATTTTTATTCAGCTATGAGATTCATTCTCGGAGAAAAAACCCAACTTCATTAGACGTTTCCTGATGGTGATGTTGTGTCACATTAATTTAGAAAATGCGACTTGAATGGCACCTCTGCGTAATTAGTTACAAGATCGTTCAAGTAATATGATTGCCTCTATTTTTAACAACGAAACAAATACGTGAATGATTGAAATGATCAGCAAAGTGGGAATTTGTGTGTAGCCGTAAAACTTTTCTTGGGTGATACACTGTAAGAGTAAGCATGAACTGAATAGCCCCATTTGAGAGTTTCCTCTTCATTCGGAGAGTGCTTTAGAGCACAAACACCCCCTCCCTTTTAACACCTAAACCAACCGGCCCTAAATGATGTTTCCTCTTTTATATGGGAAGTGGAGCTGAAGTGGTGACTGCAGGGGTGACTGACTCATCAACATATCTCGCAATTACACAAAACTGTACTGTACTTGCGCAGATACAAATCTTTTTTATGAATACATAGAGGAAAATAATGTGCATTTCTATTAAGTGAACATCGTAGTGTAGCGCCTGTAGGAAAGCTTATTTTGTAAAAACCTGCCACGAACATCTCACGATAAAAAAACAAATTAGCAATTTTAATGCCAAACATTGTAAAACCTGCCATGAACGTCTTCCAATAAACTACAGTTTAGCAATTTCAGGGCCAAACAATGAGAACAATCTGTCTCTACCGGAAATGTCCACAGCTAGATTTGTGTGAATGTTGTGGTGCCGGCCTTGGTTATACCTAGCATTACACTATATCTCACATGACCACTTGTGATCAGTTTACACTTCCCCACTCTATATGCCCATAAACACATACGTCATTTGCGGGTTGTGATATGAATCATGAAGTTTCCATTATACTGACTCTCGGGCCCAAATGGAAATCAGACATCGTGTTACGTTTGTCCTCTGTCCACACGAATCCATTTGGCCTGTTGCTATGGATTCTACATGTTGTTTCAAACTATATGACTCCATTGGCAGTCAAATGAGTACAGACTTCTGCTTATGCAGAGGAAGGCAACAGGAGCATTAGTGAGGTCCAACACTGATGTTGGTGAAAAGGCCTAGCTTGCAGGTGTTGGATGGGGTTGAGGTCAGGGATCCCTGCAGCCCAATCAAGTTCTTCCACATCAAACTGGTGAAACCATTTCTTCGTGGACCTGGCTTTGTGCATGCAGGCATGCTGAAACAGGAAAGGAAACAAACACATAAAGAGTTATTAAAATAAGGCCTAATAAGTAGTAAGTAAGTCAACTCTAGACCAAAAGTACAAGCCCAAAGGTATATGCACAAGGGTGTCCACATACTATTGGCCATATAGTGTAGTAACAAGTTACCAAACTTTTCAAATGTGTTTTTACATGTTTGTTTTGTTTCCTTAGTCCAGCGTCACTCTCCCATCCACCACCAGCGCCACTCTCCAGTACCTCAGCGCCACTCGCCCATCTCACAGCGCCATTCTCCAGTCCCGCCTCCACAACACCATTCCCCAATCCAACAGAGACGCTCCCCGGTGCTGCAGCGCCTCTCCCCAGACATGCACCGCCGCTCACCCCTGCTGGACGTCAATGACGGACCGGCCTCTTACTCCTGCCGGCCACCCAGCCAGCACCTGAGGGCCAGTTTCCAGGGCCGTCGCAGTTACTCTGAGGTTGCCGACCCCTCGGCTTACCAGTGCCCACCCCGCTTCTCACTGGACCCTGTCTCCACCCTGCCTAAGCCCCGGCCCTACATTGATAGCTACGCAAAACAGCAGCCCCAACATGTGGGCTCTCCTCATGGTGGACTGCAGCACAGAGTCTCCCCATCTCCCCATCAAGGTGGTGGAGGAGGAGACGGGGGTCTCGGGGAGAGCTCTATGCGCCACTCAAGAGAGATGCCGTTCCCACTGTCTGAGGTGGCCCACCTGCATTTTGAGCCCCCTCCTCCCTCCACACCGGCACCCCAGCCACCACAGTCCTCTGAAGATGAGGAGGAGTGGACCTGCCCGCATCCCATCAGCCCACCGCGGACGCTGGGCGTGCTCTCTGCTGCGGTGCCCAGTGGTGTCATGAGAGGCCCAGCGTCCTGCTCAGCCTTCCCCATCCCTCAGAGGTCTAACACCCTCAGCTGCCACCCACAGCCGGGGTACATGTCAGCAGAGCATGCCCAGTCCTGGCCTTCAATCAATGTGAGTTAAGTGTAAAACTTGATTTCATCTGTGTAAAAGAGTTTGAGTTACATGTTTGAGTGATTCTAAAACCATGAAGTTGCAGCAGTGAAAATGCACAGTGTCCTGTGTCACTACTGAGTTGGTTCACAGGAAATAACTTGTATTTAACCCTTGAGACTATTTCCATTGAATGCTGCTTTTCACACTGAATGTCACAATCATCAAAAGGTTTCAGTGTTTTTTTTCTTAGTTCCTTTAAAGTAGTGGTTAATTCTGAGAGTAATATGAGAAGTGTGATATCAATCTGATGTCTTGTGCGTTAAGTACCACACTGATAAAGGTTCCCTAACCTTAATGAAGCACTTATTTATTTATTGGCCTTTTATTGCCTTTAATTGTCAGTGGCAACTCAAGAGTGACAGGAAATGGGGGGAAAGAGAGGGGATTACACGTACCACAGGTGGGCACGCACGGGCCACAGGTTGGAGTCGAACACATGGCCACTGCAGCAAGGACTCAGCCTCAGCCTCAGCTACCAGGAAGTACTTATTTTAACCAAAAAGATCTTTACCTAATTTTAAAGACATCGTTTTTTTAAACCTAAACAAACATTAACTTTAAGCTTTGTCAGGTTAAAAATAAAAATTTTTCTTACAAGGATTTCAACAGTTTTGGAAGGCACTGACAGATGACGTTGTTCTACGGAGGGGTGGCAGATCAGATCGCTTATATGTGTCGTTCTGGAGGGCAATTCCAAGTGACATACTTTTTTGTTGTTAAATAAGCGCTGTGCTTAACACACATGCATGAAATATTACAGATATTAATCTCCTCTTCTTACTCTTGGAAGTAAAGCAAAGTAAGGTTTCCACCTGGATTTACTACTGGTCAGTTTATCTCATGCCAAAACCCTGTTGTGTAAGTCTGAAGTGATAACTCACCAAGTAGTGATGTAATTTTGTTGCCTCCCACAGAATGACTAATACAATCCTGTGGAGTAAGTAAGTTGAGGAACGCATGTGATTTATCCTTATGCCTAATTGTGTGTGTGTGTGTGTGTGTGTGTGTGTGTGTGTGTGTGTGTGTGTGTGTGTGTGTGTGTGTTGCTCTGCAGCTCTGGATGGAGACCGAGGAGAGTGACATGCGGAGCTGCCCTCTCTGCCAGCTGATATTCCCTGTCGGTTACCCTGACGATGCCCTCATCAAGCACATCGACTCCCACCTGGAGAACAGCAAGATCTGATTGCCATGGCAACCAGCCCGCACATATCTCTGCGGCCTCTTCTTATAGATTATGTAAGAGATTGGCAGACCCGGCCAAATGGAAAGTCGAACGTAGAATCACGAGCGACCTATTTTACGGTGCGAACCAGTTAGCTGTGTGCGGTAATCTATAGGTAGGGACGCAAAATGGGCGCAGGGGCCTGGTATATATGGAAGTACTTAAACACAGGTCTGTGTTGGATTTGTGAGTCCACATGCAGTCCTTTACTGAACGCCCTTAAGACAGCTCTGCCTGTATAATCACTGGCTCTGGTTGCTGATGTTTTGTTATGAGTCTTGTTGTGTGGTTTCAGGCAGTTTCAGGTGTCGTGTTGTTTTTCGCTTCACAGTGTAGTATACTTTGATTTAGCAAAGTAAGCCAAAGAAGAGGTATGAGAGGCAGGCTTGAAAGTTCAGGGGTTCTGCATGTGAAAAAGTTAGTTTAGTGTTTCAACAGTAAATGATCAGGGAGATCTGAGGCGTCCTTTTTTTAACAGACTATTCTCACCACTTAGCTTTAAATACTTTACACCTGCTTGGACATTTTCTATCTCACACACCTACAGTATCTCTTGCAGAGGATTCTGTGCAGTAAGTGCCAAGGACAGTGATCTGGTAGAAGTTGGCTTATTGAAATGATCTGACAGATATACAAAGTCATGTGGGATGATGATTAGTCATTTGAGTGTAGATGTGAAGTTTTTGATGCTGACACTGTGAAGGAATTTTGACTGATTTTCTGTCAATCAGGGTTTGATGCCAGTTCACTTTTTTCTGTTTTTCTATGGCAGTTAAGAAAGTATTAAACATTCCAGTCTCACATTTCAACTACTGAAACCAACTGACAAGCTGGGGAATATGAATGTGAAAGTATGTTTGGATCAAGGCGGTTTTACCCAAACAGAGTTAAGATGATGCCCTGCAGGGCGGGGCACTGATGTGTCTTCTCTACTAGGGAAACATTTTGTCAGAATATACCTTTATGCTTGCGGCCTGTTCAAAAAAAAAAAAATCTAAGTATCTTAGCACTTTAAGTTAGCATAGCCTATACAATGTATATGTTTTCAGTCCCCATATATATTTTCCATGTATAATTTACTATTTATATTGTCAATCTGTAAGGCAAAAAAATATGAAGATATATTTTTGCAAATGTTAATGCACCACATGTCTCATGTTGGTGTCGTTCCCATGTGCTTGCACACTGCTGTATATAGAGGAGTCGAAGATCCAAATCCCACCACATGGGATACTTTTCTGTACAAAGACTTTAAATTATCAACTGGGATTCTCATCGGTCTTCCTAAAGATCTGACCTTCAAAACAGTTTGATGTCACGACTGCCCAGACCACCCAACAAAAAAAACAAAAAAAAGAACACACACAGCTGGCTGCATGAGATCAAGACTTCTGACCTGCTTCGAGGAAAAAGTGGCAGGCTTTTTAGTGTACTGTATTTCTATCTCGGAGATCTGATACCAGAAACATCATCTCCAATCAGCAAAGTTATCTCTGCAGGGTTTCAGCAATGACAATACTCTTCTTTTGATACATGGGTTTAGTTTTTATCACAAGTGGAATCTTAATGCGAGATCAGCTTGTGGGACGTGAACTTCTTTTTTGAGAAAAAAAAAAAGAAAAACAACAAAGTTACACTGATGTCAGCTACTCTGAGGCTTTCAGTTCCATGTGCAGTTTCTAATATGGGGATGTCCCTACACACCTACCATGCATTTAAATTGACTGGAAGTTATTGAAGAGATGAAATGCGGTAGATTAGAGCACATATTGTAGGACTCTCTACAAGCTCTGGAGGCTTTGCTCCAGGCTATGGCTTTACAAGGAAGGTTTAAAGAGAATTTTCCAATGGGGGGGTCAAGGAATATCAGATTAAAGAGTAACTGGTTTATTATGGACCTAGACCTTGTTCTAGCAGGTTTGGACACTGGTTTCATTGGTCACGATTACATCGTAGTCACCTGGTTAATTGCTGAGATCTGGGAAAGCCCCAGTATTGCTAAAAATAGAAGTCAGACAAGTTGCTGAACTGCTGTTGCTGACGTGCCAACTGCTAACACGCCAACCAGTCAGTCACAATAGCTCTGAGCCTTTCCATTTTCTCCACAGAGTGCTGTTTACTTTGAACAACATTTTGTTCAACAAAAGGTTATTGAAGAGTGAAATTAAAGCGGTTAGTTAGCTTAGCTGTGTCACTAAGTAACATTAAGCTCACACTGTCTCATAATTACTCTTTTGTAGAGCAGTTTGTACTGGCGTTCTCTCAAGCTGTGAAGATGACTTGCTGTTGGTCAGTGGTGCAAACTCAGCCAAGTCACTGTCCTTTTAGTGGCTGTAAAAAAGTGAAACCAAGGTTTCCCACTGCGTAACATAATGGAGGCGCCCAGCACTTCCACAAAGAATTTACTGCACTTTTATGAAATATAAAACAGCAGAGACTACGTATAAGGAGTGAGCCTTGTAAATTTCCCCATTGTGGGACAAATAAAGGAATATCTATCTATCTATCTATCTATCTATCTATCTATCTAAACAGTTAATCATGCATTAGGATTGGTTTGATTCAGCCCAGCGGATGTTGATTGTGTTGCATCTATACGTTTATTTAAAGAGGAGCTCAGCTTCATCCTGTGGCTGAAATCAGAAGAAAGTACCTACCACCCCCACAAACCAATTCCTGTGGAAACCCTAAAAACTGTTCAGAATTTCACAAGAAAAAGGTTTCAAGTTCGAAGCAATCTGAAAACAAAAGCATAATTCTATCGCTTGTGTGGGTTCTCTGACTGCTTGTGGTTCTTCCCAATTAGACTTGTTTTTAGCAATGTCGCCAGGCTCAGAGACTTCAGCAATTAACTTGTTGATTACAATGTTACAAAATTATTTCTGATTTTGATTCTGATTCTGTTCCAATAAACTGGAATTATCCTTAAAGAACTACATCCCGAGGTGTACAATAAGGCAGTGCGGAGTTACTTGACCATTCAATCGAAGAGGGCTTTATTGACTCCCAATTATTATCTACTGTATGTATGTTCCTATATCACTCTGTGTAAAAAATATTTAAAGTTGTGTACAGACAGGTATTTTGCAAGTGTGTAAGGCTAATGCAACATGTACTCTATTATTCAACAACTTCAAATTGGAGTGTCTGTAAACCAGTATATATAATCCTAGCCACCACCACACTAAATATGAATTATATGCGAGTTATATACAAGTACTACCCCACACCTTTCCTCTTTTACTCACTATGTAGTGGTATGTCCTACCTCCTATGTAGAACCATCATGTGGGATGTGTGACAGTGAGCACTTTCAAGCTTAATCACATATGACATCAAATGATCTGGACTGACTATACGACCACAAGTACACTAGGTTTAAAGAAAAATTACAAATTAATGTTTGTCTGAAGGTTAGCGTCAGTAATAAGCGTGCTGATGCATATTTTTCTAGTCTGATTTATCATGCAGCAAAGAAAGAAAGAAAGAAGCACAAATGTGCATAGTTGTTTGTCTTCACTGCTGATGATGTAATGTTGCATCATAAACTAGTAGTTCAACTGCATTTGGGAACTTTAAGTTACGACTATGTAATTTGATATGAACTGCAGCTGAGGTCAGATTTCACAAACAATATGATCCTTTTTGCCCCCTAGAGAACAAAATATTTCCTGTATTTTGAAAAACAGAGGACATGGTTAGCAGGTCTTCTTTTGGTCATGTCAGTGTGTGTCGGGGGGGGGGAGCTGCATTGTGGTTAATGGTGTTGGGATGTTGTTAGCAACCGCAACCTGTTGGCCAGAAGCAGCAATGCAGAGCAATCTCACCCTGTATGAGCTTACACATTGCACGCACACACGTTATTTCTGCAACACTACAACACTGCACATACAGAAGCTGTGCTGAGGTCCATCACATAAAGTTTATAATTGCTAGTTCAGGTTTAAGATCTTAATTTTTGTTTAAAAACCTTCAAATCTGCAACCATCTCGTCTGTTTTTCCCCTTTTTTGGGTCATAAGAGCAAACTGACTCCTTGGTTTACTCAGGAGATCAACAGAGAGACAAATCCAGCAAAGGAAAGATCAAATCTGTCATCGTTAGATTCAAATTAAATATTTCTTCATCATGAAATTTCACTCAGATTTACTCAGGCGACAAATGGCTAGGTCCAACAAAGAGGAAGAGTTTTAAAAACCAGTCTGATTGTTCATTCTTGTATAGCTCCACTCTCCTATAAGTAACTAAGTGAGTCAGGTTGTTCTCCTGGGTAACATTAAGCGCACATGGAGACCTCAACACTAATGAACTCTCCACAACACTAATGAGAAGTAATGGCTACTCTACAGCATTTGTGTGGTGGAACAGCACTGCTGGCATTCAAGAACTTTACGATTGTGATAAACAAAACGAAAGCAACAACAGAGTCACTTTTTCTTTCTCTCTCTGTCTGTAAATACCCCTATAAATAAAATGGAACTTGCACTGAAATAATGTATGAACTGGCTTCTTTATGCACAAACCATGATGTCATTTGCTCTCGGCTGCATTTCACATCCTTTGTCTTCACTGATGTTGACTGCAGAGCTTGTGACGCACATGAAGCTTGATATCGTTTAAGGAGTTACACAGTTTGTGTCAAGAGAATTTAAAAAGCACAGATGTGGGTGAAAATCTGGCAACTTCAATTTTAATGCTCTTAGAAGCATAAATATTGCTTGAGATTATCCGAACTACAACAAATAACAGCAGTTTGTGTTCTTTAATATTTGAAAGAGAGCGTAGAGTATGATCAGTGTTTGTGCTGCATCTCTCTGCAGAAGGAAAGGAAGTTTGGTTTAGCAATACAGTAGGTGCTCACATGTGATATTTCAAACATTTATTTCACAACTTCACCTGACAAGATTTATATTTTTACTGTTTTATTTAAATACTGCACATGTTGAAACTTTCAAAACTAATATTTCTTTTTTATCACATAAAGAGCTTCAAATTGTTGCCGTTAACTCCCATTTTTGATGATTTCTTTATTGCATGCATATAACCCAGAGTGAAATTCAAGCCTCAAAAGTATAAATACATCTCAATTTTAGAATTGCATGTTGATATTAAGTTATTAACAACGATCATTCACCACTTGACAGATGATATTTCTGCAAAACTATTCAGCATTGGAGGTGAGTTTCGAAATGTATATATATTTATGTCTGTATTCAATATTAAATATGTGCAGTGCCCTTTGCACACACACACCCCTACTCACACACACACAGAGGCTGTTATGGACACTTTATTATGGTGAATTGTTGTGGCTGCAGAGTCCTGAGGAGCAGTAATCATGTTGTTAGTTTCAGTCAGCCAGGCCAGACGCTGCTGCTGAGAGTTCTGAGCTTGCTGTGAAAACATCCACATCATCCATCGATAACGCCCAGGTGTTGACAGGGTAATTGCAGCGTATCATACCAACGGTCCACTTCAGCAAAGAAACAGACTGGAAGAGACCTCAACAGCTGCTATGTTGCTATTTGTTAGCAGTTAATATTTATCTTTCGTAGATCTCAGAAATAAGTTATTGCATCGATAAAATAATTCAGTTTGTGAGCTCACATTAAAGTTAAAGGGAGGTGGTTGATGTATAAACTTTGGTTTTTCTTTGTAGCTACGTAATTATATTAATATTATTAAATATTGTGAACTGAGAGTTGTTAACAGTACAGCCAATATGATGATTATGTGTGTCTGCTTTGTTTGTGCATTAATTTTTTATAAACGATTATATTATTTTCCTGTTTCACCTGCATCACCATACTGATTGATAAAATAAAAACAGTCACATTTTTACAGATTATAATAATCATCTCATGGACTGCTTAGTAGACAAAAAGTCCCATGACTATTTATTGATGACTTATTAATAACTGAAACTTAAATGATGAATGCAGCCTTGTCGGTTTCTTTAGTCAAATTTGGGTCCACAAGGTATAAATTCTTTTAATGTTTTTATTGGTCTTTATAAAATACTGTGACTGACCTGTAGAACATTATTCAAGTATTTAATCATTAAAAGTGTCTTTTGATAAAAGGGGGATACAAACGATTTCTGTTTATCATCCATTCACGTCTCACATATCTGTTCACACTGTGTTGATTGGCTGCATACAAAGCATGTCAGAATAAATCAACCAGTTTACTGAAAGTCCTTTTGTCATAAATGTGAGGGAAACTTCAACATCGCCAAAATACTGAACTTTGGTGCACATAGAAAGTTTTCAAAGAGTAGACCAAAAAAAAAAAAGAATCCTCTGACCCATTTTGTCTGAAGTCAAGTTTGTTTTGTTTACCTCAAATCATAGCCTCGCTCCTTCAGCCGCCACCAAGTTTGTTTCCTACATCTTAACTCTGTGCCGCTAACCTCAATACATAGCCTACCTCAGGAAAAAGAAAAATGCACCCACCCATCCGGGCCACAAAACCACAGGCCTTGCAGACTTATGAGAAGCAGTAAAAGCCTGCAGTGAGAACTAAAAAAAACGTACATAAACTCAGTCAATAGGTGATGAAAAGCAGCACTTTCTGCTCACTGATCAAAAACAACAACTCCTCTGTACTTTCAAACACACACACTGCTTAGATACTGTAACCAGCACGCATGTGTGACTCTGTATACACACATACACACACATGTCCAAACACACAATTCTTAGAAGTCACAGGTTTTTTTGTCATTTCTCTATTTCCAGTAATCCTCACATCGCTTCTTGTTTGTTGCCTTTGGAAATAAGGTTACTGTTCAATAAACTGTGGTTCATTGTTAACGTTTTGCTTGAAAGTTTTAGAAAATGTTCATATTCAAGATTACATTTTAACTATTGTATGTTATCAGTATAATTTCCATGAGAAAGGATAATGCTTAAACATGTTGCTCACTTGCAATAACTACTCATATGAATAAGAATATTAATACAATTAATATGTCAACATGAAATAACAAAAACTGTGCAATGCATCCAATTAGTTTTCCTTATATATACTTAACATTCTTTTACATGAATGACTAGTGAGGATCATACTGAGGTTGAGGTCCATCAGTGTTTACACACTGTTGACATTTGTAACTAATACTAACGTTACAACAGGACGTTCTAGACGGTTCTTTAAGTTTCGTTATTTTTTATTTTAAACTGTGAAGTATAATATTGACCTTTATAAAATATTGAGTTGAGGAAATAAACGATATAGAGACAATTCCTCACTGCTTGTTACGGATGTAAATATAATAAGAAAGTAGTGATACCATAGACAGATCTGTGTTTAGAGCTTGTTGCTTTAGAGCTTAAAGCAACTTGAAGCCCTGTTCATTACATTAGTCTTACAGTAAACATACACAGTAAGTCTAACTTGAATTGTGCTACATATTGAATTAATGTATATAGATGTTGGATGAAACTGTAGATGTGTATTGATGTTATTATATGTACATGTATGGTTATTTTGAGTGTTTGGCTTTATACAGGAAGTAAAAAACATTCTCCTTGGGGTTTTGCAGCTCTAAAAAAAAAATCTCTCTTCTTGGGCATTAAGCCATAGCATGTCATCAGTACAGAAGCGGCGTGAATAAGCACTTTCAAGTTTCTCACAATATTCAGGTAAATAATTCAATTTTATATCCCATGTTTAGTTTGGGAAATGTTTCACCAGCCCACTAGATGGCCACATAAACCACATAAACCACAGAACTTCACTTCATACTGCTCTGCCCAGGTCTTATTTACATATTGTGACAACAGTTATTGTAAACAAAAGAAGGAACAAGCTTTACTGGTTGTGTTCAAGGCGCTGAAGAAGATAGAATTAAATTGTGCAAACTCACTGAATTCACATATAAGTGGTAAGAAGAAAAAGAGGCCATGTGGAAGTTGACTATTGCTAAAGATTTGATAAAAAGAAAAATGCTCAAAGCTAAGGTGTGAATTCTGGCTCTAACTGATATTTATTGTTCCCTTCTTGTTATGGTAAAATATGATACACACATGATTCAACACACACACACACACACACACACACACACACACACACACACACACACACACACACACACACACACACACACACACACACACACACACACACACACACACAGAACACATCTACATTCACAGATTTAATCACCTTCGAAAATGAGCTCTCTGTCCAGAAGTGACTTTACTTTTAAAGTGTTACTTTCAAAACGATGCGCTTACTTTTGTTCTCACTGTCCAAAAGTGTCCACATGTTTCAAAAGTGTCTTCACTTTTTAACAGATGCCCACACTTTCCAAAGGGGTCCTGACTTCCAAAATGTCCTCTTTCAAAAAGTGACTTAACTTTTAAAATATTATGTCCTCACTTTTGAAAAGATGTCCTCATAATGCAAAATGTCCTTACTTTTGAAACAATGACATAACCTTCGAAAAGATGCCCTTACTTTCCAAAAAAAGACCACAATGTGTCGAATGTTTTCTAATTGTTTTAAAGATGTCCTCACTTCCTAAAGGTGTCCGGACTTCTAAAAATGGCTTTGCTTAGAAATAATGTTCAATAACTTCAAAAGTTGTCCTAATGTCACAAAAACGTCCTTACAGTAGCAGTAATGTAGATTTCATTTTGACAGTCGAGTTCTTCTTTATCTCCTCTTAGATTTCGTCCACACTAAGCTCGCTATGAGAACTAAGTCAGCATTTTTGGCACCCAAACATTAAGCTTTTATAAAACAGTCTCCAGAGCAAACACATTTAAAAACACTGGCTTTGTGAAAACACAGTCATGGGCTAACACATGTGATCACTTATTCTAACCATAGCTGTTATTTAAGCACAGGTTAACAGGTAGTATTTAAGATCCACACTCAAATGACTATTGCAGACTGGTTCAGTTCCCTAACAACTGAAAAATAACTGCGAATGTATCTGAATTAACAGTGTAAGTGAAAACAGACCGACATAGGAAAAGAAGAAATGTAGCTTTTTTCTTATTGTTTACACATTTCAGTGTGAATGGAGGTCTTTACAAATACAACTTGGAAACACTACTGTGTACACACATCGTAGTCACATGTACAGTAGATGACATTTTCAAATTGAACCAGGTTAGTGGATGTAGTCTTAGAGGTCACGACGTGTCACATGGATGTGCAAAAAGATACTCAGTGAAAGATCAAGCATGACTACGACCATCGTATTGATTGTTGGTGACATTTGCCTTTCAGTGACAGCTATATACAGTGATCCAGCTGATCAGACACAGATTCATCACCTGCTGTTCTAGTAGGAATCAGTGCTGGTGTCCCACATGCCTCACTGACAACATGTTCATTAAGTCGGCTGGCAGAAGGCCCGGGCCAGAGATCGAAACCCTCAGTGCTGCGGTGAGTGAGTAAACACGCAAGCCAAGATAATACATACAACAAGATGACACACAAACACACGTATTCATGCAAGAACAAAGACAAAACACACA